TAGTTAATGACTTACGCAGGTCCAATGGGATCCTGTTTTTTCAGTTCTTTTTCAACATCTTTGATGGCTTCATCCAAGCAGTCTATATACTGTTCAGCACTTAATGAGTATGTGAGACTTTCAGCATCTTTCACAGCGGCATCTACAATGGCTTTCACTTCTGGATGGTTCTCGTCAACTACCACCGCTTCTGGTTTGACAACAGTGGGCGCTGTAGACTCTGACGCGACATCAGTTCCTTGAACTGATGCTTCGTCAGTTCCCATTCCTTCTTCACCTATAGAAATGACAATAATAATTAAAAAAAACAACACACATTCAATGCAGAATAGATTGTGACTGTTTTGTCTTACAAAATTGAACAATTTAGAAATGGGAGTGGAAGGTATGGCTAGCTGTTATCTATATGAAAAGGGCACCTTACAACTGAACATGCAAATTAAAAAAAAATGATTTTAAAAATAAAAAAGGACATTTTTTAGATTACAGCATGGCAAAAGAGTGCTTGTACCTTTCTCTGTTTCTGCAGCAGTCGCTTCACTCTCGGCATCTTTTTATCATCAATATCTGTTTTCTCTGTGAATTGATTGACGATTGAGTTGAAACAAGTTTAGGTTGTATATTAAGGAGCACACAATAAGAAATCTCTTACCAAGCCAGATATTTCATTTACATGTATGATCACAAAGCTGAATCTAATGGCATTAAGTCTTAAACTGTTGGCAACTACAGCAAAGGTTAAGAATAAATACCAAAATTATATGTCAGGACATATGATGTATCGGTAGTGAATGTTTACATATAGTCTATACACCTCGTACCACAAAGGCCATTTCGGATTGAAAAATATGTAACAATTTAGAGAAACTTATGCCCCATCAAATCCGCTTCTAGTATCAGTTTATGACTGAGTATATGACTGAGTTTTGAGGTTTCTTCATAACATAACTGATTCAGTGTAGAACCAAAATCCTCATTTAGAAAAATCAATCGCAATACATCAGAAGTATTACGGATTATTTTATTGACTGACACATAGATCAAAGACATATATGGCTTGGTAAAAGATGCACAGTGTTACGGTAGAACAATGTTGGACACATACACCTTACACCCCTTAATTAACAGTGATCCGCTATTATGAGCACAAATTATCAGCTATTATCAGAAACTATCAGTATATAACTATCAAAGAAATTATTAATTCTACTGCAATAAGTAAGAAATTAATATGCAAATTAGAAAATTAATGCTGTATGATCCTTTAATACCTAGAAAGCAGAAATATATGTTAATATAAGA